TATAACTGGTGAGACGTCCTCTAATTAAGGACTTTATATTTTCAAGTGCTACAGTTTTGTAATGCGTTTGAAGAGTGTTTTATACTTCATACATTTTTTTTCAAACGAGAACTTTTATTGTTTGGTGTGAATTGTTGAAGAGGTGATTTTTTTGAAAATGTTGAAAACTTGAAACGCAGTTTCTAAGTTATATTTTATATTGTTACATACAAAGAAAAGATGATTTGTAGGATAATATAGTACAATTCACGATAATTGATTTTAATCTTATAGAAAACTAATAATTGAAAATTAAAGAAAACAATATTAATTATTAAATATTTTTATAATTTATATTAAAAACCATCTGACTATGAAGGTATTCAGTGTAAGTATTTGACTAGGTAGATCAACTCATACTTTATATCAGGTTAATAATAAAAAAGACTGTATTCACAATAATTGTTGAATTAGCAAATACTTATTTTCATATTTTATAGTTAAATATATTAGATACAGCTGATTCCGTGCATTTAGTTGCTTGTTAAAAATGCTAACTCTATATGATTCAAAATGTGTGTTCAATTTGTAATTTAATACCTGGTGTATTAATGTTAAAAACTTATGAGGATTTACCTCATTTTAATCTTTATTAAAGATATTTAATATGGTCATATAAAATAATATATTCAATCATAATAAGTATTTTTTCTAGTAGTTTTAGCTTTGTATAATTTAAAAAAATTTAAAAATCGGTGCCTGTAATAACCAATAGCTAATTTCTTATTCATCTATGCTAAATTTTGCAACCCTATATAATAAACAAAAATATATTATTATTTAAAATTATTGTTATTTATATTATTTCTAAAGAATGTTCTCAAATTCTCAATAGAAAAAAAATCAAGGCCACTTATTGAGTAAAATATTGCATTTAGATCCTCAAGATAGTGTAGTTTTCTGATGGCAAAAAAAAATAATATCGGTTTAGTAGTTTCGGTTTTCTTCTTATACATTAGTAAAGATAACATTCTTTTAAATTTAGTACTTTTATACCACGCTTTCGATTATTTTTGTGATACTTTAATATTTTTATACGGTTTATTATTGACGACGAATATGTAGTACGTGACTATATATATATATATATATATTTGTACAATAAATGATAAAGGAGGACGAAAAACATAAATTGTAGTTACACAATTAAAAAGTTAATGTTAACACATAACATAGGATTTAATATATAACTTAGAAATTAATTTCGTTTTGTTTCCTATACTATTTATATTGTATTTGAATATTATATTAGATACGTAGGTATATTTAAATATAATTGATGAAGTATAATTGTCGTGGTTTGTGCAGAATGGTTTATTTTTTTAGTAGGTTTTACATATTATACCATTGTAATATTAAGCAACTCGGCTATCATAACGGAGGAGTGAAGCTCCTAAGATATTTATTTACTATTATTATTATTTTATTTTTATTTTTTAAGAGGGAATCCGTGCGCGGTCGCAGCAACATAGGCCATTGAGTGTGAGATACAGGGATGGTACGATAGGAGTTATTTTTGTGTATTTGTTTGTAGGATTTTAAATTGGTAGGTTATTTTAGTATGTATTTGTGTATGTGTGGTAAGGAATAAGGATATGTTGCTAAAAATTGCGGGTGGTCACACATCCGGGAACTAGTAACTGTGGCAGGTACGTACGCTCAGCGCGTTTTCACATACTTAGAGTACGAACGTGCCTCATCACACCACCAATATATAAACTGATGAGGCAATAGTGTCTTTTTTCACCTCATAGATTTTTAGTTTAGTCCTCCCTTCAAGAATAATTTACCCATGATTATGCTTATATGGGCTATATGGATTATTACTAGCATTCAGTCCAACACACAGAAAGTTGAATAATTCTGTAGACTCGTCTATAGTTGTTCAGATTTCGATACATAACATTTTTCAAAAATTATCACGACGAAAACCGATATGAATGATATGATCGTGTGCTTGTCTTGCATTCACAGCTGATGCATTGTCGCCAAATATGTTATGTTTATTTATACAACGCAAAGTTCGTACGTACTTATTACGACGCCGCACGAGATGATTGATTCACGTCGCACTACTATTATTATATTATTATATAATATAAATATATACTCATTATACTCGTTCTGGTCGCAAACCAATTGCAAATATCGATCTCGGTGTGGTGAAGTTTATTTTCCCTCTGTTGTGATTCTGTTTTATCTTTCTCTCTCTTTTTCCCTGTCTGTCTGTCGCAGTATACTGCATGCCAACAAATTATTTTCATTCACACGGTAAAACCTGCTTATATTATAACAGACAGTCACTGGTCAGGTTAGGTTAGGTTAGTCATATCAAAAGTGTCCCACTACGATGCAGGCTTTAGTATTTTTTTTTCAGTCAAACTTATATATACGTGTCTATTTCATGAAAATATTGCATTAAAAAAAAAAAAAAAACTATGGTAAATATAAGATAATATTCAGAAGAATCGATATATCATACCCTCAAAAATATTTTTGTTTATCATTATTGTAATTAGTGATTTTACTCTAAAATTACTAAAAAACGAAAAAAAAAACGATTTTACGTAAATGCGTATGTCTATAATATTACATGTGGACCAGCAAGGAAGAAATAAACTGTAGGTACGCTGACATCCTCTTTATAATAATTGCAATTTAAATTTTAAATAGTCCAATTGTTGTATATATATATATATAACGAAATTATAAAATATTAAAATAACATACGAAGCAGAAGTCAATCAAGCCGAGTCATCAAAATTGCTACCACTACATAAGGTGACGTCTGCGGCGGGAGCTGGGCTGTTTCTTTGTTTCGCTTATTGTCGTAGCTAACGAGCAGTATTTTTAAGTTTCTTTTTATTATTTTGTTTTTTTGATATATTTTATTATATTTAATTCCTTTTTTAAAAAAACCAAGTTTCACTGTTTTTCTTTACTCCTTTTTTAGAATATTTTATCTTACGAGTGGACACAGAGACGTTGTGGCGAATAACACTTAAAAACAGGCAGTAAGACACTGTAGTACTTATTTTCTCGTCTAGCATTTGTTGGCAGCATCATATCACGATGAATTGCGTTGTTTCTTTCGAACCTGTAAGCTGCAGTGATGGTCCGAAGGGCAATGTTTTGACAGCGTTGTATTACATCGATGTTAGACTTACTGGCACTTTTTTTCTTTAAGAGCTTTACTAATCACATTGGTAACTCGAATTTTAAATAGTTGAATRTTTGTTGTGAAATCCAAACTGATGTTCTGGTATAAGATTTTTTCCTCTATAATCGGTTTTAGGCGTTTAAGCAGAAGTTTCTCTAAAAGTTTAGATAAACTTGGAACATATCAGTCGGTATGATGCTACATTTTCGGGTGGTTTTCCTGGTTTGAGCAACATGATAACTTGTGCCCGTGCCTCGTTTCCATTGTTCTGAAATGTATTCTGTACGTAAAATAGCGTTGTATATGTGTGTAAGATGAATGGTAGCTTTCTTTGGAAGTTCTTTCAGTATTTTTGGACTAATTTCATCATAGCCTGTAAATTTTTTTAGGTTTAAGTTGTTATCTATTTCTTTACCAATTTCTAACGGCGAGAAATGTTTGATTTTTTCACGTACTACATTAAATGGTTGGCATTGCAAAATGTCGAGCTCAGAGCCAATAGTGTTTGACATAAATACATGTTCAAGATGCCAAGCGTATATTTCGGCTTTTTCTTGTTCGCTGCGTGCCCAGGTGCCGTCTTCCTTACGGAGCGGTGGTATCTGTACACGGGGCCTCTTCATGAATCTTGTGGCTTTCCATAACGAATAATCGGTACACACACACACAACTAAACACGCTTCAACCATAGTAACAGCTATACAGTATACATATATACGCAATTAACGTTATTGTTATTGCCGATATAGGAGCACCTGTGTATTCGACCATAATCCATGCCTTATAGTGGCATAGTAATCGCTTAGTACCCATGTGTACGAACGTGTGCAATTATATTTTTATATATACTATAGCCAAAAAATAATATTAGGTAATAACAATATTACTGTCCGTATCCGTAATATAGAAAGGGTCGAAATACCATTTCGGAATACCTATATTTTTGCTGGGATTTAAACATATTTGTTGGTATGTTGAGAAGAGTAGGTATCCGTCATTTATAGGTATTTGTTTAGTCTTGTTACATTGTATTTTTTAGCGACCCTAACCTAATAATTCGTATTTGTATATACCTTGAATTCAATTTTCAACTTTTTACGTAAAAACAAAAATATTATCATGCTTTATTTGAAAAAAAACTACAAAACTACAAAAATGACAAAAATGACAAACATCTATAAATAACATAGAAAATCCAAAAATTTTTGAAAATATTATGTCTTTTTAAAAAATGCTAGTACTAATATTTGGTTAACATTTCAAGTCTATAAATTACAAAAAAAAAAAAAAAACAATGTGATCATTGTAGGTACAGGCGAAAAAATGAAAAATCACAATCATTGCAAAATATATAGGTTAATTAATCGTTCCGCTAGATATATAACTAATTGATAACATAGAATAAAGTTGCCTCACGTCCCGGTTAGACTGGAATTGCTAGTTTTGAATATAGTTTTCCATTTTCCCGATAAAAAGTACCTACTAAGACTGCAAATTGTCCCGGAATCAAACTTCATCCGGTGAAATTCGATTGAGCACGGTCAAATGAATGCAACGTTGCCAAGTTTTCTGTCCGACTACAACCAGGCTACATGCGTCTTTTGAAATACTCATATACATACAATAATTGTAAAACATAATGCAAATATTAAAATTAAATCTATAAATTAACTTTTAAACTTATCTGTATAGGACATGAATTATATATATTTATAAAATGGATTTATGGCGTAGGGAAAGTGGCGCTCCCATTGCCCAGTGCACTCAATAAGAGCAATAGCCCTAGGTACCATGACCTAGCATGGTCCTTCAGGTTGGGGGTTATGCGCAAGGCTATCAACCCTGCCATGTGAAATCAACCTTGTTCAGAACACAGATAGTCTTAGGCGATTGTAATGCCAAATTGGGAAAGGAAAATATATTCAGAACAACCATTGGTAATCATAGCATGCATGACATAACTAGTGAAAACGGACTTAGACTTATCGACTTAAGAAGAAGAGCCTAATGGAAAAAGACCACTAGGTAGACCTAAGTTGAGATGGGAAGACGGTGTGAAGAGAGAAGTAGAAAGGATAGAGCCTGGTGTCAAACGGGGAGAAGTAGTGGAGGACAGGGATAGGTGGCAAAGTTTAGCGTTTTCAGGAGTCTTAAGGGCCGAAACTAAAAAAAAAAAAATAGATTAACTTTAATACACTCAGATGATTATTATAAAATAATTCCTGTAAATATTTCAATTTTTTTTTAAAATTGTTTTGCTGTGCGAGACGGCAACGTTGTACGTATATATAGCCTATGCTCAACCGTATTGTATTTTGGATTTCTATTATTTAGTTATATCTGTGCTCAATTGGATAATGAAAAAGGTAAACTGTGCTCAATCGGGTTCCAGCCACTTCAACAATTTATGTTGAACATTTTGTCTGTAAGTAAAATATTTGAATCTAGGACGATTTTCCATCCATGCCCCCCCCCTCCGAATAGGACAATTTCCCCACGGATTAAAAATAAAAATATTAAACAATATACAAATACAAAATACAAATGCAAACGCAATATTCATAATTCATGTAGTATAATGTAGCTCACGGAAAAATAATAAAATAAATAAGAGTTATAAGAATAATATTAAAAATTAAATAATACAAATAAAAAAAACTTAATATTATTTTTTATTCTGATAAGATAGTTCACGGAAATTAAAAAATTTAAAATATGATAATTTGAAAAACTTTCACATAATTTACGAACTATACTAAGAAATCTAAAAGCAATATGTTATTAATTTCTTAGATAATTTGAGTTTGGTTTATCAATCATTACCCATTTAATTGGGTAATAAAAATTACTCCATAACGTGAATGATGATATCCGATAGATGCCGATATGATGATCGTATATTTCATGTAAAACCAAAGAACCAATTGTCCATCCTATTGTTATGTGTAAAAAAATATATATATTGTTT